AAGTCACAATGAGTAAGGGAATTAATACCGTTTTTCAAATAAGCGTCACCCATTGATCATAATGGATCGAAATTATTTTAGTGACTTGTCCTTTTTAAATTATTTCACACACATGTCCTCCGCTGCATGAGATCAGAAGCACTAAAACTAACTGCTGCAATAACGTCGCATCTCAATGAACGCCCTTACTCGATGCGCGTCATTATCGACCCAAAAAACTGCATCGTCACATGAGAGAAACGGAGACGCTGCAGACATTGACAGTTTAAATAAAAAACTTAGTTAAATGCCTTAAACGTCGGTTTACCGAATCAAGCACAGAAACCTTCGTAACACATTCGTTACAAACCGAAAAAATACCGTTTTGGTCATCGGATGTCATGTCTCACGAAAATGTTTTTAAGATAATAAAAATCATAAAAAATTGTCATGTAAGAGTGTTGACGCTGCAAGTAAACACATTGTAAACATCACTCAATGCATTTACGAACACGCTGTGAAAATCTGCTGATTCAGCTGAACCAACGTACTGAATTGCTCACTTCAACTGAAAAAGAAATGGCATATCAAAGTGAATTCGTGTATTTGGCAGTCGATGTCTGTTGCTGTATACACATTTACTAATCTTTTGATGGTAAAAAAGGAACAGTCACAATATTTTTATATAATTATGCTTGCTAAAGATATGTGGCGTAACTCACAAGGATGACTAATGCTTCATGGTAGGACAAGCAAACACGGGTAGGCACTTTGTCACGCAACATAATTATCAGAAGGGAAAACGTACAAAGAAGATTTTGTTTTCAATGTTCTGTTCATGAATATTCCAAAGTCATGTTTCAACAGTTCGTTAAACTCTTCAACGCCGTGCTTTCATGTCGATAACGTCCCCTGCTCGTCACGTAATAATGCCAGTAAAAGCTAAAAACTATCAAATACATTTATTTCTGGATATGAAAACTTCATATAATGATACTTTAGCTTTTTCAAAGACTTGTACGCTCACCCTGCTTTAGCCGAATCGATAGATATATCGATAATGTTCTGTGTAATTGGTACACCTTGATCGTTTTCTGTAAAGTATCCCGATCTTTAAAACGGAGTTCGATATCACATACAAACGGTGTCCGCCCGGGAAGCCACATTTGAAAAATACCAATTGCCGCTAAAGCCACATTTCAAGTACAAACCTCGATGCCGCGAATGCCTTCATGCAAACTACTTCGGTTTGTATGATTGGTATATTGCATCAGCAGAGAAGTTTGGACAAGAATTTTCCATCAAATTTATTGTAACGTTTCAACTTTAAGTAATAATTTGATTACTGCAGCGGCGGCAAAAATACTGATTTTGGAACATCTAGTCATACATTTTGCTTAAAAACAGCTATGAAATGGAAAGAGTTAGGCATTTAACACGAGAACGATTATGGCCAGATTGAAGATTTCAAGAAGGGAATATGATATGCGTATCATGCAGACTTAGTTCCTCTTATACTAACAGACAGCCTATGTTATATAATGGTGTCTTGCGTCCCGCTGGGCAATGGGAGGAGACCTCCTCATTATGTTCTGACCACGCGTGATCTGATGACATTGAAATGCACCAGAGAATACAGAAGCTCTGACGTGAGATATGATGTGAGATGGGGATGTTACTATGATGTCGGCATGGTGCCTAGAACTAACCACACTGCAGGGTATATTATCCACGATATATCAATTTATTGAAAACTGAATCCATAAAACTACCTCGATGTGTGTGGAGTTATTTGATTTCAAAATACACCTCATTATGTGAAATAAAAACATATTTATATATGGGGATAAGGACATATATGAATATAAGGACTTATATTATGAGAAGAAGAAACATATCTTAACGTGAGGATTGAAACATGCTCGTTTTCTGTCTGTGATGTTTCAGATATTAATTGAATCAAAGGATTGTAGGTGAAAATGTGAATGGGATTTGAAATGCTTATCTTGACTGATAAAGCTTGTACTCGGTGTAGTGCTGGACAAACACCCACTGGTAGCTTCATGGGTTTATCAGACCGTGTGTAATGACTGCCATTGTAACTTCCCGTATACACACGCAATCTTGGAGACTATTATCACTTTGTAGAGTGGTACAGGATTGCAATGAGTAAAGTATAAAATTCATATATTTTCATTCGCCAGCACATCTATAAACATGTACGAAATACAGGGTTGTCCCATTTAAATATGTGGTTTCATTAATCTTGTGACACCACGTATGAATATCAAATGTTACAGACGAACGTCAAGTGAACGTAGCTGGGAAAACATGATACCATTTGTTCATTGTCAGGTGCGTGTAAACATTTAACTCTCTCTGTTTAGTAACAGTATATTATGTTAGTTTTTGTGTTACTGGATGCGTCGGACATTGTGGGACCCAACATTTCCTCTCAGGGCAATTAACTTAACCGGATAATATCCAACGCAAGACTGATAAAAACTGGCCTTACCTGATACCGCCTATATACTAACCTAGTATATTACATTTTTTTAACAATTTGACACATTATAATGATACGAAGTTTATAATTCGTCATCACTTATCACATTTTAGCAAGTGTGATTTTGTTACATGTCTGCCTTGTTTGAGTGATTTCATTCCTTCAGCGTAAGAGATCAAATTCATAATAATTAATCCCCAAGCACCGACACTGCTCACCTGGCAGTTGTCTCAATCACGAACCCTAATGATGTGCTGCAAAGTCCATTTACAGTCAGATAACATGAAATACTCTATTCATCGACAATAACCCTCCTGAAAAAGTACCCTGAATATCACAACATCCTCGTTTAAGTAACCTCTCTCTCTGTCTCTCTGTCTCTCTCTCCCTCTGTCACTCTCTGTCTCTCTCTCTCTCTGTCTCTGTCTCTGTCTCTCTGCCTCTCTCTGCCTCTCTCTCTCTCTCTCTCTCTCTCTCTCTCTCTCTCCGTATATACAATACGTCAAAGCGTACGTTATATCTCCAAATCATCATCATCACCATGTTACATTTGAAGCGAATATTTGATGTCCATTACATCTCTAGCTTTAACGGGGGCAGTCGTTCAGGAACAAACCCCTTTGAAAACTACGGCACCCCTTGCACTCCACAGTGTACACTATCATTAACGTTGATACCAATAACATGTTTCTTATCAGAGTATGTCAAATGTTTATTGGTTTTATGAAGCTCTTGTCTTTATTGCATTGTAAAACAGTGCTCCAAGAGGTGGACGTGACCTGTTAAACGTTTCTATACCTTCAGCACACAAGCCAATAATTACATAAAATATTATCATGTGATAGGACACGTGTCAAACAATGAAAGACTAATACACATGTATGTTTAACAGAAAGCATAAGATGACGCCGCTCACACCCCAGTGACCTCTCGCCCTCATGTTTCGCAGACATACTGGACAACGGCTAGTCTGTCTCACAGTCCCTGAACCACATTATTTTCCCCACTGCCAAGCCCTCCCTGAAGTGCTAAAGCCCTAAATAAAGCAAGTCTAGATTTTCCCAGGTTCAGGGTTCTGAATCTCTGGTCTACCTAGGGCTCCTTTTCAATTTAAATGGGCTTGTTTGTTACTATCAAAATTATATATATTCAGAGACTAAGCCTTAGTCTAGACAACGGCCAGCGTTAGCCCTTGTACATCGGCACCATTAAATAGCTAATACTGTGTCCCATGTTATGTCTTAGATATGTCCTTGGGAGGAGCTTGTGTCGATCCTTCGCCCTGTCACTGTGTGAGTCATCGATGTTTAACCTGTAACTCCCGTGGGTTCTGCTCGTGTGTGTTATACATGTTGTGATCTGTAAATTGTTTCATCCGTCAACTTGTAAGAACTGTCTCTCCAGCAATCCACGTGTTGACTGTCAGACTGACCGAGACTTCAGTGTGTCCATGTGGTGTTCACTCTGACAGATGACCATATCACAGAGACAGGCAACACATAATTAACGCACATCGTTGTCGTGGGATGACCTGTTATTGAAATCTGGACTGGTGTACAAGAGGTCTGTCAGTTAAATATGCCTTTCTCTCTCCGCTGAGGACATGCATTCCATGCAGGCGTCCTTCCTCTGTTGACAGATCGTGCATGTTAGACCCTACACCTAATGTACCTACTGATAACGGTGCTCGTACAAACACCTCACTTAAAATTGGTAGGGGAAACACAAACAATCTCTACTCCAAAATATAATAACAAGGCGTAATGCGAGATTTCAAATGAACACTAAATACAAACAGAAGCTCAGAGGATGTATACCTAACAGAGACCTATACAAACACAAGAAGAAAATGACTATGAAAATTCATGAACAAAATGACGTTAAGAAATTATAAATTACGATACTGGTTTGGCCGGGATGTATTCAATCCAACCCACTGCACACACTAATCGGTTCCGTCGTTCTTAAGAGGCATACACATTACTTAATGCCTACACAAATATCAACTGAATAATATTGCCCATATGCACACAAGTTATGTTTGATCGTAAAATAAAATACTGCCTTTCATATAGACTAACGCTTAGTCACGGACTATACATAATTTTGATAGTAACAAACAAGCCCATTTAAATTGAAAAGGAGCCCCAGGGAGACCAGAGATTTCGCCTGAACCTGAGGAAATCTAGACTTGCTTTATTTAGAGCTCTACAAATGCAGACAGGGCTTGGCAGTGGGGAAAATAATGTGGTTCAGGGACTGTGAGACCTTTCATGTACCTTATCCCGTAGCAACCCATAACTCCAACTGAAGGGGATATTACACGAATCAACATATGTTACACTAATCCCCCATCACTAATCCGTTGATTTGATCATCATGACCCCTTCCCCATGTATTGTCCCCATCGGATGAGTTGATAACGTTGCAATTTATCAACGTTATTTATCAATCAACTGTGTTGAAGACGACATGACCAATCACCTGCCATGTGATGTTCGTTGTGCTGTTGCAGGCTGGTTGGCTATATATTGCTCCGCCCTGGTTGTCGAGTACAGCAATCTCCAGCAGGCAGTCCGTCAGTTGAGACACCGATACACAGTAGGCATCATGAGTTGGGGATACACCACAGAGAATGGTAAGTTGCTGTCGGATAACTGTTCTTATTATTCTTTAATGTTCTTCAGCAAGCCTTGCTTGATCAAGTCGGATGTATGTCATGTTGTTTAAGTAAGTTTGTTTTATTACTATTTCAAGAACGAAGTTTGTTCGTTCTGCGCTTTCTTACTTTTGTATTTACAACTTTCAAAAATCATATTTCAATTAAATTGCATAGATATTTCATAAATAATACACAATCCATGCATTTACATAATTTTCTCCCAGATGAGCTCTTAGTATTTTTAGATAATTCCAAAGATTTAAATAATTTACATCACATATCGTTTACAAATTATATTAGTAATTTTAATCTTTTTATTTTTATATTATTCAGGCTTTAATCGTACACTCGTACTTAGTTATTATAAGACATTATAATTGTGCATTGTCATACACAGTTTTTAACTCGAGTTCGATGCATATATGTTCACAGCGCGATAAACATGCACACTGTGCAGTAACTAAGCAACGCTTCGTCCTAAAGGTGAAAACAATTAATATTCGTTTGCTTTGAATCTATACATGTTTCTATGGGCAATTATGACTGAAGATTTCATAACGAAAATCGTTGACAATGTATATTTATCTTTTCGCAAGCGCTTCTGCGAAATGAGGGAGTTCCCGCCAGATTCGCAGTGAAGGTTAAACGCATTCGTTCGGGTTTTGCCCTTGAACTAATGATCCCACGATTGTGGGCCGTTTGTTATTTGAAATACACACTGGGTTCTGTCTCAAGCAACACGTGTTCGCATATGTGTGAATTCACAGTTTCCACAAGGAACGCTTGGCAACGGGAGGCAAGGGTTTTGTTCTTGTATATACTGTCCATATATTTCTTTTAAGTTTCCTTATCTTTAGTAACAATCTAATGACTTTATAACATTTTGGCAAATTTCACAATTGAGGTTTTGATTCTTAATAGGTATTGTTCAAAACGTATTTCCGAATTAGACTTTGCATATCTGTTTTAAGTCCCTATTGCAACGTCGAATGCATGCGTTTGTAAATGTCATCGAGTGAGTGAGTAAATATTCAACGTCACACGGCCAGTATTTCAGCCATACCGTGACGAGAACAATCTATAGTTTAAACCTAAATAAAATCATACCATAAAAAATTGTCGTCAAAGGACAGTAAACATCATATTTGGGCAGTCTAAGTAAACTTAGCCTCAGCACTATTCGTTACACTCCTCTAAGTTTACTTAGACTGCAGATTTGGGTTAAAACCAGCATGTTACAATAAACCTATCACTACAGAAAACAATACAATATCAAAATGGGCTACGGTTACCAGCAGCCAAAGTTAGGCCACCGTACTATGGACGTAAATGTCATCGAAACGACATGTTACAGTGCGGGCGACTTACTTAATGCCAGTTCACCCCTCGTTACAGGAATGCATCACAAGTGACGGGTAGATCCTTACGTAGGTCTGTTGTGAAGGTTACAGTGATAGGTCGTCCAGTACAAGTAGGGCTTAGCAAGTCGGTGTAGTGTTGTCAGTTGTCTGGGAATACACCATCGACCTCCTGGTACCTGCAGTGCTGTGAGACAGGCGCATGGCGAGCTGTGCATGACGTGTGCGGTTAACAGTGAACTTTAGTCCTTATGGACATGCCACGTGACATAAAGTGACAAGTTTCAACAGCGGATAGTTATAACGGCAGAAAACCTTGGGTTATATTCAACAAAATCGTTTTCCATGAAAGACCAGTAACTGTAAAATGTATGATATATTGTTTATATTGATCTATTGATATGGGATGATGTTGAAGGAAATGTTGGTGAGATGTCCGAGGTTGTATCGGGCCCAAACTCACCATGTTTATACAGGACATAATTGTCTCCCGCGTGGAATTTGACGGATTTGCAACGTGTCCATCCGATATGTGTGCGCACCCCCCACCCAACCCTCTCTCCAACGACCAAATTTCCCTGAGGAGCATTTCCCCCTAACCTTTGCACTTCATGATACATGTGGAACCCACTTCTCCAATATCCTGGATACGCCCCTGTTTGTTACACATCATTTAACATCTTCTTCCTGTTTTCATGAGAGTGTTATTGTAATACTGTATATGAAATCACTTTGACACGTTCCACGGCTGTTACCATCTTGTATGTACAATTAAATATTAAAGACTTGCGTAAAATTAAATGTCCCAAAGAAGCAAAATTAAAGCTAAAATCCATCATTTCACTATGTCACTCTGACAATGTCACTTTGACCTACACTTGTAACGTAAATACCTTCGTACGCAGCAACAGTTTTTATTTTGCAAAACAATTCGCGAGGAACATTGATGTTGAACAATTACTAAGGCTAGAAATATGAACAGTTGTGACCAGTAAGGGGCAGATATCTTCATGAAAGTATACATGCATTTGATGAAACCTATTTAAGGAACCCGTTCTTTATCTGGAATGATATCCACCTTTTCTTCTCGGAACATGTTTTGCATTTGCGATTCTTGATAATGGAGGGGGCACAAGAACTGTCTTAAACCCTCACGTAGCATCTTCTGATATCATGTGATATCCCCTTGTGTTTCAGGACCAAAGACATGGGTCAACAACTTCCCCATCGCCGCTGGCCAGCAACAGTCTCCGGTGGACATCACCTCGGCCAATGTCCAGTTCGACGAGAAGCTGGCCGCCAACCCGCTTTCTGTCAAATATTACGTGGAACAGAACATGGACTTCGAGAACACTGGGTTCTCCGTCAAGGCCAACATCCGGGAACCGTCCAGTGAGTCTCATTCCAAAACACGTCCAACCTACTAAATGTCAAAGTCAACACAACAAAACACCTTACTCAATTAACGTGAGAATGAATGTCGTTTTACGCCACAGTTCGTCATATCCTAAGGCATCACAGAAGCTTGTAAATTGTTACCTATGGGCAAGAGAAGGATCAGCACTAGCGGGATTCCACGAAATGCGATTAATTAAGTTACCACAATAGCCATTTTGTCCACCCAGATATGTGGACACAACAAGATTTATCCTTTCTCTGTAGAATATGCTACAGATCTGCTCATACATGGCATCCTCGTGTTTAGTCTTGTGTACCTGTGTTGCAGCTATCTCTGGGGGTCCCCTGGACAACACATATCAACTTGAACAGTTTCATCTTCACTGGGGGTCATGTGACGAGAGGGGCTCGGAACACACTGTAGAGGGCAAGACGTTCCCAGCCGAGGTACTCCAATTGTCAAATATACCTCTCCTATAAATTTCAAATACTTTGAATTATAATTATTCAAAAGTAACGATTGCCAACTACTTTGAGCCTTTATACTAAGGCTTTATACTAAGGCTTACCAAATACAGTCTTAGTAAGCAGTAATCCATATTTTTGATATTAGATATTGTGATTTCACATATGGATATATGTTTTCAGCTTCATCTAGTCCATTGGAACCGTGACAAATATTCCAGCTTTGGAGAGGCGGCAGACAAGCCTGATGGTTTGGCAGTGTTTGGCATCTTTTTGGAGGTAGATATCTCTAATGTATTTCCTTAATGAAACGTGTGGCTAATTCTTACAGGTCTTCCTTGTGAATAAAGCACCTGTAGAACATATCAAATGAAAGACAGCACGCGAAATGTATATTTTATGAATGCTTATCGCACTCTGATGATTTTCCGAGTTCATCGTCCGTCAACCTCGGTTCCAATTAAAGCAATGAAACAACATCCCTTTCTTCAATCATCTATTGCAACAACTAGTAGAATGTCATTATTTTAGTCCGAACTTGGGATTTAAGTGTTTTCACAATTGTTCCTAAACTATGTTATCCAAACCTTCCGTGAACACAATGAGAGACGTTTATGCAGCATGAAAGCTAATGTACACATATTTGTCTTCAGGTTGGTGCTGAACATGCGGGTTTCAAACCTTTAACCGACGGCTTAGAAGCTGTCAAATTCCGTTCCAAACATGAGCAGGTCAAAGGCCAGTTCAACCCCAAATGCTTCCTTCCAGGTGAGTTGTGCTGTCATTCTTTTATTCATCTGTATTTCCATCTGTCTATCTGTCCACAAATGGATATGCAGAATTCATACAAACATAAAGTGTCTTATTTAACTCAAGATTCAAAACCTAACACCTATGTGTATGTAGAGACCGATATTTCTTCTCCTCAGAATCCCTGTCCGAGTACTGGACTTACCCCGGGTCTCTGACCACGCCCCCATGCTACGAGAGTGTCACGTGGATTGTATTTAAAGAACACATGGTAGTATCTGAGAGCCAGGTAGGTACAGATAACCAACATTTACAGAGAATATAGCTTAGGAAATTGATTAGAATCTTATTTACAGAAAATGTATCTTTAAGGTGAGCCAATGAACTTGTGCCTCTCAGTTGAGCGCATATGTGTGATTTAGTATGTATCATATCATTAACAATTGTTTAGAAAGAAATATAGGAAGACCCTTAAAGCCTAGTTAGTCCTGATGTAAGGGAGGAGACGTCAGCTGATTGTCCTGCGGCCAAATTACCATTCCAGTCCTCAAAGTGACATGAGCAATAACAGTTGACTCTTTGCCAGTAATCAATACACGAAAAGCAAGACTTGAAGACGTATAAACCTAATGGACAGCTGTTCCTAAGAAGTCAGCATCAGAGCATAAACAGTCTCGACGGTTTAGATTGAAGTCAAGCCCACTGACTTTTATCATTCCATGTCTAAGACACTTTTTGTTCGGTTTCAGTTGAAGGCCCTCCGGAGCATGTTTTGCGGGGACTGCGAGGGCGACTGCATCGTTGACAACTACAGGCCCCCATGTGATCTAGGCAGCAGGAAGGTCCGAGCAGCATTCAAGCAGTGACTGTGATACATTGTGGCTGTAACCAAACCTGACTGACACAAGGACTGGAGATCATGATGACTGTCCCCGTTTGGTGGAAGGAATTGTAGAACACTGCCGGAAATATTTGTGACTATCAAAATATAGGAATAGAGTGACATTGTTCCAGATTTATAGAATTACAGGAGCTTACTGGATCTGGGTCATAAACAATAGACTTCAGCTTGAGTCAATGAGCTGACACATATCTGTTGAGCAAATCTTCGAGCATGTGGAGCTGAACGAATGTTCTTCACTATATTCAGGTCATGAGTAGTAACGAATGGGAGACCAGCAAGGTAATTCACAGTTCCCTTACGGCACCAAACTGATCGAACCTTCATCGGGGGTCCCACCATCATTGAGTATGATTGTTTCTGGGTGAATGGGTCATGGTATGTCAACATTAATGCAATGTCTTTCATCATATCATAGTACGGATGTCACTAGAATTTTACTTTTACTATTGCAATAAATCAGTGCCTAGTATGTAGTTGTTGATTAAAATATTTGCAATGTTCTTTTTTGTTTGTTCACTCACTCTTCGATTGCCACCCGAAATGTTTGTTTGACGACATGACGTGGAACATACTCCATAGTTCGAGTAATTGAATTCAATTGAATTGAACTATCCTTAATCTTGTCACGTTGTGTGAACTGAATCAGGACTGGGTAATCCACAGTGTCCCGCACGGATAAAGTATGCCGCGTTGGTGAAACACATCACTAACAAACCAGTTGTGAAACAAACCCATAGTAACAACACATCAACGCCGATGTTCACGGTACTCTCACACCACAGTTCTGACAAATCCGTGATCACAGTACTGAGTAACCCATGATCATAGCTCTGAGAAACAGTATTGGCAAACACATGATCTCAGTTCTGACTAGTCTGTCATACAGACCATGAATCAAATATATCCAAGAAAGCCCATGCAAGTTTAGAACATGTGGAACATATGTGTATTTCAGAAACTAGTTCTGATCTCAGTATTGGCAAACACGTGATCACAGTCCTGACAAAAAACGGTGGTCTTAAGACTGACAAACACATTTTCATTGTACTCAAACCCAGAGCAATCGACATGTAGACCATTAATGTGTGGATGCAGTCACATACAGGCCTGTTGTGGGAACATCAACATGGTGTCTTTGAAATATCATCTCCCGTAACAGGTTATCAATAGTCCTACCATTGATCGGGGAATGATTAAAACAGAGTACATATTCCTACTGCAATTACAGGCTGCTGCAATGTGCAAGAATCTGACACCGGGAGTTATGTAAAGCACCACTCTATGCCTTCATGACTGGTTTGTTGCTTGGCTGGCTGGTTTGTTGCTTGGCTGGCTGGTCTGTTGCTTGGCTGGCTGCTTGAGATGCTGTGCGCCATGTGGTGATGATGATTTGGAGATTTTACGTGCGCTTTCCGCCATGAAGTGTATTTCGAACACGGGCCCGCCAGGCCATTTATTGTTTAATCGAAAGAAAAAATATTATTACCGAAAGATAGAGCAACCTGTAGGGAGTGTTAGGGTTGCATAAACATTTTGTATGAAATGTAAACTTGGAAACGTTTAGAGGTCTTTGGGTATATTTTATGTGTTTCAACCCATAGGTAGAACGTTCAAAATGTCTTTAGGATTTAAACCAGTCCCGTTGTCTATGTGTTTACATTCTGAACACATTTTCCCTGTGCATATAGTTAGTTATTACGTGACGGGGATCAGGGTGTACTCAATTAAAGGGGTAACGCGTGGACATTTATAACCGAGTTTCACCTGTTTTCACCACTATCTCCGAAGATCATTATCTCGGATCACCGGTATAAGATGACTTTGGCTTAGTGGTTGTAGGAGTCAGTAAGACATATAAGAAACCCATGATAGAAGTGTAATGGCCTCTGTAAATAGATGCTGTACATAGAAGGATTTACTTTCTTTGATATGGTTTATTCACGCATATTTACACTGCCATTTCCTGCACGTGTCAACAGCTTAGTCACGTGACAGTATATCGTTTGCTGTACTTGGATTTGTTAAGCAAGATACGTAACGCCTATTTTCCGCATTATGTCGGAAAGCGATCGTTAAATCTCCAGTTCATCATCACTGTCATCATCATCACCGTCATCATCATCATCATCATCATCATCATCATCATCATCATCATCATCATCATCATCATCATCATTGTCGTCGTCGTCATCATCATCATCATCATCATCGTCGTCATCATCATCATCATCATCATCATCATCATTGTCGTCGTCGTCATCGTCATCGTCCTTGTCGTCGTCGTACTCGATTCTGTGAATATCATCATCACAGTTCAAGATGACGTGTAATCCGTTGGCGAGTATATTCCCCCACTGTCACATGTATTTCACATCTGCCAATAAGACTTCCACAAATATGTCTATTATATGTGAATTTTAGATTTACATTAAACGTTTTTCGCATGTTAACAAATGCCACCCAAATTGTGTAATTTAATCAACGAAATTAAACAGTGACTGCCCAGTCGGCATTCAGCGGGTATTGAGGGAAAACAAAGACATGTACGCCGTCATGTATGTCTGTTCCGTCTGTATCAACTTTGTCATTTATAAAATAATTATATTGGATGCAAATAGGACAAACCAATGCAACCCCCTTTCCCCTTAATTAACATATATCAACATGTAGATTATACAGAGCCACACAGGCTCCCAGCGGTATACTTAATGTCATGCTAACTCTCTTCATACGACGCCATCTAAACAGTGACCCTATCGCCATTGGAATACACACTGTAACTGTAACGTAACCTATGCCCCACTTTGACGTATATCACTAAAAATCACTTTCTTGTCGAAATGGGTCTTCTGAGTAAAATATGGAATTGACTTAAAAGATGCAAGCGGTATCAAAAGGTCGCCGACAAACTGCCTACTTAGTGCCCAGAAGAATACTTTGTTCCAGTAGCACATCACCATCTAAATACAGACAACCCAGTGATCAACAGCATGAGCATCGATCTACGCAATTGGGATACGCTGACATGACCATGTCAACCAAGTCAGCAAGCCTGACGGGGCTGTGGGGTAGCCTAGTGGTTAAAGCGTTGGCTCGTCACGCCGAAGACCCGGGTTCGAATCCCCACAAGGGTACAATGTGTGGGTTCTGGTGTTCCCCGCCGTGATGTTGCTGGAATATTGCTAAAAGCGGCGTAAAACCAAACTCAGTCAGTCAGCAAGCCTGACCACCCGATCATGTTTGTCGCCTCTTACGACAAGCATGGGTTACTGAATACCAATTCTAACCCGGATCTTTACGGGGATACACACATTAGTACATAATACCTATTCTGTGACCATTTGAGCATATATTAATATTTTTGTTTTTATTCTTTGGCTCACTGAACTCGTTTACAGCTGGTGTCTGTCACAGACATCAAGTCTTCTAATTTGAAGCAGACATATACTTTATCAAAGATATAAAACGTGTTTGTGCTACCACCTCAGTCCTTCACAACTGATGGACACAATGCGTGTTTGTTTGTAGTTATTTAACACAAATATCGTAGAAAATAAATCAAGTAATATAATTGATAAGTATGTGGAAATCATGTAAACGTCCACCGCCTGCCTCGGATTCTCCATTACATGGCTATTTCCTGTTTACAACAGGTGCCCGTCACTGTCCATTTGACACCACCACCATTGAGACCAGACTGAAACTTTCCAGAAGGGAATGCGATAAGCTTATCATGCACACCTAGTTCCATCTTTTACTGGCTAGGAACCAGATATATTTGTTGAGTCATTTGTCTTGTGTCAACCTGGTCAATGGGTGGGAACTCTCGCATGGCTTCTGACCACATGGGATCTGATGACATCGACCTGGACAGAAGCTTGGGTAAGATGTTGTGTAAGATGGGATTTTATGACGTCATTAATAAAGCGGAATGAAGCATGCAGAAAGCCACCATCTGTATCCAACACTTGGAGTTAATACTCAACTGAATCTATATCTAGGAGAGTAAATTAAATGAATGATGTTTTGAATGATATTGATTCGAAATCAATAGGAGGAATAATGTTGTATCTCAATAGGAGGAATAATGTTGTATCTCAATAGGAGGAATAATGTTGTATCTCAATAGGAGGAATAATGATGTATCTCAATAGGAGGAATAATGATGTATCTCAATAGGAGGAATAATGATGTATCTCAATAGGAGGAATAATGATGTATCTCAATAGGAGGAATAATGATGTATCTCAATAGGAGGAATAATGTTGTATCTCAATAGGAGGAATAATGTTGTATCTCAATAGGAGGAATAATGTTGTATCTCAATAGGAGGAATAATGTTGTATATCAATAGGAGGAATAATGATGTATCTCAATAGGAGGAATAATGATGTATCTCAATAGGAGGAATAATGATGTATCTCAATAGGAGGAATAATGATGTATCTCAATAGGAGGAATAATGATGTATCTCAATAGGAGGAATAATGATGTATCTCAATAGGAGGAATAATGATGTATCTCAATAGGAGGAATAATGATGTATCTCAATAGGAGGAATAATGATGTATCTTAATAGGAGGAACAATGATATATCTAAGTAGGAGGAATAATGATATATCTAAGTAGGAGGAATAAGGTTATGTCTCATTTGGGCGAATATTGATACATCATAATCGGTGAAATAGTAATATATCTCATTAGGAGGATATGGATTATAATTCATTAGGAGGAATAATACAATCTCTCAATATGAGGAATAATGTGATGGGAAAACAACATGCTTGTTGTGAGGGATAATGTCTGACTTACAGTTCAATTACTGGCCAGGTCTTACAGGCATCACCAGTCAGAATGACCTGTATGTGAACTGTAAACAGACAGGACGGATTGGAAATGCTTTTCTGGATTGACAGTGCTTGGGCTCAGTGTATTGCTGTGCAAATGACCACTGCTCCAACTGGTGTTTCTGTGACTAAGAATGTCCCGTCCCGTATACATGCATACTCTTGAAGATTACTGATACATTTGTGAGTGGTAGTGACTTTCGACGACAAGAACAAATATTCATAAATAGTCATACTCCTCTATAAAACTGAGTTTTTGATTTACCCGTATAGAATGCTGACCATCGTGAAGCAACAAACCATATTACCTTACACTTAACGGACTAGAGTGTACAACACCATTATCACGATTCTACACAGGGGCAGATACAGCTTTTTGAGAAGGGGGGATAGGGGGATGCACACTATTTGAGAAAGGGGGTTAGGGGGATGCACACTATTTGAGAAAAGGGGGTGCCCACTTCATTTTCACCCGAGTTTCAATGGTCATTTAATAAACTTTCAGGACAAAAAAAAAGGGGGGGGGGGGGATCCGCCTATGCTACACAAAGGGAAGATAGTACTATATATCTCATGTCATGTCTTAATTATCAGGGGGCGATGGGGTAGCCTAGAGGTTACAGCGTTCGCTCGTCACGCCAAAGACTCGGGTTCGATTCCCCACATGGGTACAATGTGTGAAACCTATTTCTGGTGTCCCCCGCCGTGATATTGCTGGAATATTGCTAAAAGCAGCGTAAAACTAAACTCACTCACTCTTAAATATCACTTTGGGAGGATACTGCGTCAGTCCTTCCCCTGTCACTGTCAGCCTCATTAATTTATAAGATTGAAACTCGCGTCTGTTCTGTCGGTGTTGGTTGTGTGCAGTATAGATGTTGTCATCCGTAAAGTGTGTCATCCGTAAAGTGTGTCATCCGTAAATTGTGTCATCCGTAAAGTGTGTCATCCGTAAAGTGTGTCATCCGTAAAGTGTGTCATCCGTAAATTGTGTCATCCGTCAACTTGTAAGAATTGTCTCTCCAGCAATCCACGTGTTGACTGTCAGGCTGACCGAGACTCCAGTATGTCCATCTATTGACTGTCAGGCTGACCGAGACTTCAGTATGTCCATGTGTTGTCCACTCTGACACATGACCATATCACAGAGACAGGCTGGACATACTTAACGCACACCGTTGTCGTGGGATGACGTGTTACTGAAAGCTAGACTGGTGTACAAGAGGTCTGTCAATTAAATATGCCTTGTCACTCTCCGCTGATTAAAAGCATTCCATGCAAGTCGGACGTTCTCGTTATACAGATCGTGCATCTTAGACCCGAAATTATCGACTGAAAATGGTGCTTGTACAGACACAATGCTCAGATTACATTTTCTAAAACAGTATACATGAATGTTATATACATTAAACACAATGGTTATTTATTTGATGGGAAAAACAATCTCAAACTATTAATTATGACAATAGATGACAATAGGTAGCACGATGTGACACAGAGATTCACCATAAACTGAGAGTTGATACAGATCAAACAGGGACAAGATTAACTATATATGCATAAAAGAATATGGATGCATGTATGTATGCATGTATGCATGCATGCATGCATGTATGTGTGTGTATGCATGTATGCATGCATGTATGTATGCATGTATGTATGTATGTGTGTGTGTGAATGTATGTATGTGTGTGTATGTATGTATGTATGTATGTGTATGTATGTATGTATGTATGTATGTATGTATGTATGTATGTGTGTGTATGTATGTATGTGTGTGTGTATGTATGTATGTGTGTGTTGGTGTGTGTATGTATGTATGTATGTATGTGTGTGTATGTGTGTATGTATGTATGTATGTATGTATGTATGTATGTATGTATGTATGTATGTATGTATGTGTGTGTGTGTGTATGTATGTATGTGTGTGTGTATGTATGTATGTGTGTATGTATGTGTGTGTATGTATGTGTGTATGTATGTATGTATGTATGTATGTATGTATGTATGTATGTATGTATGTATGTATGTATGTATGTATGTATGTATGTATGTATGTATGTATGTATGTATGTATGTATGTATGTATGTATGTGTGTATGTATGTATCTATCTCTCACTCACTCAATCTCTGTACATATAATGAAATGACTTCTTTTCAAACTGAATGACATGACGACTGTTCAATACAAAACACTCATATGCTGCCGTCGGACATATTAGGCATACATATCAACCAATAAATCTCCATTCAAGAATCTTGTACTTTTGACACTGGCATTATATGTGTTATTGTAACACACCACACCGGCTACCGTCAGCCATTATAGGTATACTGATTACTTAATGAATATAGAAATATCATTATGCAGTTACATTTCATCACAAAGTGAAAAGGTAGTCTTTCATATTCTTTATCCGGTGTTAACACATGACTCTGATAAATCATCCGTGGATATACGTTAATCCTCTGTTTAACGCAATAAACCCTGCGTGTAGCTTTCACCGGGGGTGGGTTGATAACGTTGCAATTTATCGATGTTATGTATCAATCAACTGTGTTGAAGACGACATGACCAATCACCTGCCATGTGATGTTCGTTGTGCTGTTGCAGGCTGGTTGGCTATATATTGCTCCGCCCTGGTTGTCGAGTACAACAATCTCCAGCAGGCAGTCCGTCAGTTGAGACACCGATACACAGCAGTCGTCATGAGTTGGGGATACACCACAGAGAACGGTAAGATGCTGAGGAGTCATAAGTTGCTGAACAGACAGGCACGAGAAACAGACATAGTTGAAGGAATAGGCCACTGACGATGCACGTCTGCGATTGCAGTTAGACATGTATGCGCATCATAGCAAATGTATTTGTGAATATCGATGTGTTGAATCAAAACCATTTGTAACAGTAATCTTTCTTTGAAGATAAAGTTGAAAATCGCGTTGTCATGCATGGTTTTGTGGATTTCGTCGTCAATTACTGTATTGCTCTATGGAGGATAATAAACCATAAAGGCCGAAGACTGACTTAGTAATTGATTAAGACTTTCTGACCTTCAAAGTTTGTTAATATGACGTATAAATAAGCAGTGTTATATGTCATAGTAGTGTTCATAGGGTAGGCACATACTGTGTGCGGTTTATGAAGATATTTATATTATATCTAAGTCTGATATCGTTATAAAGTAGGACAGGAAATAACACAATCAGAATCTTAGAAGCTCTCCATGGTAATCGTGGCTCATATCATTTTATCAGGTTGTTTGATACGCGTACGTTGCGTTGTTTGGTATCCTGTCACGTTGTCTGGTATCCGTTTGTCCTCGGATATCATGTGATATCCCCTTGTGTTTCAGGACCAAAGACATGGTTCAACAACTTCCCCATCGCCGCTGGCCAGCAACAGTCTCCGGTGGACATCATCTCGGCCAATGTCCAGTTCGATGAGAAGCTGGCCGCCAACCCGCTTTCTGTCAAGTATTACGTGGAACAGAACATGGACTTCGAGAACACTGGGTTCTCCGTCAAGGCCAACATCCGGGAACCGTCCAGTGAGTCTCATTGCAAAACACGTCCCGCTTACTAAATGTCAAAGTAAACACAACATGTTTACGACAAGCTTTCCTTTCTCTGTACAAACTCATACAGTTCTGCCCATATATGACATCCTCGTGTTTACCATTGTGTACCTGTGTTGCAGCTATCTCTGGGGATCCCCTGTAGAAACTCCTACAGTTCTGCCCATACATGGCATCCTCGTGTTTACCATTGTGTACCTGTGTTGCAGCTATCTCTGGGGGTCCCCTGTAGAAACTCCTACAGTTCTGCCCATATATGGCGTCCTCGTGTTTACCATTGTGTACCTGTGTTGCAGCTATCTCTGGGGGTCGCCTGTAGAAACTCCTACAGTTCTGCCCATATATGGTGTCCTCATGTTTACCATTGTGTACCTGTGTTGCAGCTATCTCTGGGGGTCCCCTGTAGAAACTCCTACAGTTCTGCCCATATATGGCACCCCCTGTTTACCATTGTGTACCTGTGTTGCAGCTATCTCTGGGGGTCCCCTGGACAACACATATCAACTTGAACAGTTCCATCTTCACTGGGGGTCATGTGACGAGAGGGGGTCGGAGCACACCGTCGAGGGCAAGATGTTCCCAGCCGAGGTACTCCTATGTCAAACATATCCGTCTGTTTCAGTTTGCCCAAAGGCAACGTACCGTCGCCGTTTAAAATTATGAATACTTTGAAATATATTCAAAAGAAATGATGAATAAAAACTACGTGTTTGATTATGCTAAGGCTAACCCAATACAGTCTTAGTAAGCAATAGTCAGTTTTTTCGATATTCGATACTGTGAATGGTCTGACATGTGGATATGTTTCCAGCTTCATCTAGTCCATTGGAACCGTGATAAATATTCCAGCTTTGGAGAGGCGGCAGACAAGCCTGATGGTTTGGCAGTGTTTGGCATCTTTTTGGAGGTAAATCCTGGTTTAATCAAACGTGTCCAATAGTTTTAAGGCCTTTTTAGCGACTGAAATATATTAGTGAATAGTGTATTTTATGAATGCTTCTCACAGGTGATGTTTGGTCGGAGGAAGACTAACGATTTCATAGCCAAAACAGATCTGTATATTCTGTTGTAGCTTTCCAAACCTTCAGTAAACACACAGAGTGAGAACTGATCAAAACAACAGGTGAATTGTATATTGTACGTCAAATTCAGAATTCCCATATGCGTATAAAGATATAGTCCTCTCTGCAACTTTGCATAAACAATCTCCATTCCTGTTTTATTCAATCCTTCAGTGAGCAGATCTAGAGATGTGACATGTACGCTTATGTACATTTATTTGTCTCCAGGTTGGTGCTGAACATGCGGGTTTCAAACCTTTAACCGACGGCTTAGAAGCTGTCAAGTTCCGCTCCAAACATGAGCAGGTCAAAGGCCAGTTCAACCCCAAATGCTTCCTTCCAGGTGAAGTTGTTCATTTAGCTATCTGTCTCCATCTCTCTATATGTCTGTACCCTTCTTGCTAGCCGACAGTTCATCGACCTTTTTGCAGAACCGTAGGGTTCCGTTGATATCCAGTTATGTTTGTATGCACCGTATGCACGTATTCGTGTGTCCTGTGTACTCGATTAACAATAGATTCCTTTAACGCACCTGTACGACATTTCTTCTCCTCAGAATCATTGTCCGAGTACTGGACTTATTCCGGGTCACTGACCACGCCCCCATGCTACGAGAGTGTCACGTGGATTGTATTTAAGGAGCACATGGTAGTATCTGAGAGCCAGGTAAGTACAGATAACCAACACGAATATAGTTTAGAATCCCATCTGAGTAACACAAGGTGTATTTTCTGAAAAGATATGATGAACTGAAAATTGATAAATCCCAACAACAAGATCCCGTCTCTTCTAAAAACAGCTGTTCTTTTGACATTAACAATCATTGCGATGGTCATACAAGTCCGAATATACAGGACTAGTCATCATTGAGTGTCCCGTGGCCACATTACCATTCACGTTTCCATGGTTACTTCAGCAATAGCAATTCCGTTTTTTATCTATAAAATGAAACAAAAACATTATTCAGTCGCTGAAAAACAATGAACTAATAAAACGCCAGCAGCAGATAACAAAGAGACTCAAATAATATGTACAAAGTATAAATGTAAAGATTTAATCCATTTGTCACTTGTCATACCATGTCTAAATTAGATTGTATTCGGTTTCAGTTGAAGGCCCTCCGTAGCATGTGTTGCGGGGACTGCGAGGGCGACTGCATCGTTGACAACTACAGGCCCCCATGTGATCTAGGCAGCAGGAAGGTCCGAGCAGCATTTAAGCAGTGACTGTGATACATTGTGGCTGTAACCAAACCTGACTGACACAAGGACTGGAGATCATGATGACTGTCCCCGTTTGGTGGAAGGAATTGCAGAACACTGCCGGAAATATTTGTGACTAGACTGGCATTGTTCCAGATTACATCAGAACTATCGCAGGACACTGGATCTAGATCATATTAGAGTTGAAGAAGAAGAAGTTGATCTGACTGGGGCATGTGAAGTTGTACAAATGTTGCTGCACTTTATTTGAGTCATTAGTAGTAGAAATTAGAGTGTGAAATCGTCAATGCATATCACAATTCAGGCTCCACTATGCCTTGTACCTCGGTTGCGCTGATTAATTAAATCTGTGATTCGCTTACTGCCGACTTTGTTGACAGCATCACACTGGTCGCTGAACACAGGGTCACATCGTCAGTGTGTAGGGGAGGTTCAGGTTTGCCTGGATCGTGGTATTTCACCATGCAATATCTTTCATCATATCATGGAAGTCCATAGTGACCGAGATCAATGTATTGTATAGAGTTGTTGATTAAAATAATTTAAATGTACTTTGTCTTTGGTCATTCGCCAATCTTCTGATATCTGCTGGGCTGATATGAAAATATAAAATAAAATAATATGTGGTTGGTTCAACGCATTTCACCATTATACTAAGTGATTGAAATTCATGACCACAGAACTGACACACCCAGGATCACAAAACTGACAAACCCATGATCACATCCCTGACAAACCCACGATCACATCCCTGACAAACCCACGATCACATCACTGACAAACCCATGATCACATCACTGACAAACCCACGATCACATCACTGACAAACCCACGATCACATCACTGACAAAACCACGATCACATCACTGACAAACCCAAAGTCACACCCCTGACAAACCCACGATCACATCACTGACAAACCCATGATCAATATATATATATATATATATATATATATATATATATGTAATATATATATGTTTCATCATGCTTGACAATAAGCATTGCCACGACAAGTATTAAATAGGGTAACGCACATTTTTTATGCTATATTTTGTGTGTAAAATGCTTGTTAATTTTGAGGTATATGTGGGCGTAATAGTGGATCACACACGATTCAAGATTATACTTGAACTAAGGTTGAGAGGACTTGATTGGTCACCAAGCGTCCTTATGCTCCAGCTGCATTCAAAGAACCTTATTGGACATGTTCAGCTCTTTCGATGAGCGATATATGTACACATCAATGATTCCGCTTCTGCTACCATGCCCAACACACACAAAGAAGATAATTCACGAACACCAAATCGACTTGCCAGTTCCAGTTGTGATCTGAACACAAATCATGCTTGAGGCTCTCAATGTTTGGTTTTCCGTATGCTCACTGACGTAACACTTTAACCACTTGGAATAGTCTTTGCATCCCGTGCCTGCACGATGGATGCTACACACATGGTCTGAACGTAGCCCTACGCACATTATAATGCTATACATACACTTTCTTAATCCCGATATGAAATATTAAAAGCTTTAATCCACATTTGTGAAATATTTACTTCCATGTCACGAATTTTTATACTGACTTCATAAATTCAAATGTTCGAGCGTTGACAACATTCCAAACTAAAATTTGAAAATAGAGAAATACTCTTGCTGGCAAGATTGTGTCCTGCTTCTTACTGGTGAAACCAGCAACATTCCAGCTTCTTCTTAATCTTCTTGGTACCCGTGAAGATCCGGGTTAGAATATTGATCTTCAGTAACCCATGCTTGTTGTAAGAGGCGACTAACGGGATCGGGTGGTCAGGCTCGCTGACTTGGTTGACACATGTCATCGGTTCCCAATTGCGTAGATCGATGCTCATGCTGCTGATCACTGGATTGTCTGGATCAGACTCGATTATTTACAGACCGATGCCATATAGCTGGAATATTGCTGAGTGCGGCATAAAACTAAACTCACTCACTCACTCAATGTTCTTGTGATTCTGAAATATAAAAGAGTAAACTTGTTTTAATGGAAAATGAAAGTGGTTGCAGACATTTTGGATGTCTTCATCGTTTGGATAAACAGGGTGATAATGGAACGATGATAAAACAAGGGTAAAATGAAGGATACAGGCACGTGTTGAATTTTCTTCCATGAATCGAAGACATTCCCTGATACGAGGAGACGGGGAGACTCACATCGTAGATGTGTTGAATAAAGCTGAATCATTAAATCAAAGATCATTATCGTCAGTTCTTGAATAGAGACACCAATGTCGGTGAAGTTACAGACACATGATTCAGATGTACATAGAATGAAACTGTTGTTCTGCAACCATGTCGCCATCAGCCTACCTTTGCTGAATACTGATTGATTTACCAGAACAGGTGATGGGGCGTGGCCTCAGTTCACCTTAAGTAGGAGTCGTGTTGTATTCAGTGACAGATACGCGCCGGGAACCTCATCATGGAAGCTGGATGTGGACCTGAAGACGGTAAGGACTTTATTTTCATTAATGCCGACAAAATGTACCTACTGATTTTAATCCTTTAGCGTTTCGCTCAAGTCTTATCTTTCAATTATAATTTGATTACTTGCTATCAAATACATAATAATCAGAACCTTTCAAAACGAGAGAGTTTCGTTCAAACCTAAATTTGTCACCTCAGTAAAAATGAATTAATGTGACAAACAGCTTCTTTCTTCGTGTTATTTACTGCTGCAGGACCTACTCACTGGATCCTGGCATGTCCCAATGCAGGGGGACACCACCAGTCTCCTATCGATATCGAAACTGAATTGGTTAAATTTGATCATCACCTCCACCAACATCACCTTAAGATTGACATCGAAAAGGAGCACAACCCTGAAGTAATGAACAATGGACACACCTTTGAAGTGGAAATAAGGGAGCATTCGAGTAAGTTTCTGGTTCATATAAAACCAGTTCAGGTGGTGTGGCATTCTCAGAACCTCCAATATTGATCACTGGCATGGGTTGATAACAATTGAAGAAGCTACATATATGTTTAGCCGCAAATCTGCTGAAGTTGTTCGCTAAATAATTTTCATATACATCATGTAAACCTAGAAAGTGTCTAATCTAAATTCCATTCCTATCAATTCAGCTTTAACTGGGGGAATCCTCGGCCACGAAGAATACCATTTAAGGCAGTTCCATTTCCACTGGGGACTCACCGACCATACTGGCTCAGAACATACGGTCAATGGGAAACACTATGCTGCAGAGGTGCGTGATTCAACAAGCAGTCTACGGCAAAAACGTTCTGTAACAGTTTGAACTGACAGAAATGCATCTTAAACTTTGACTCGTTAATCTTATAATAATACACATTGCTTATTCGTGGTTGGTTTGCTGTTGTGTATTCCCGGTGTGTTGCATGTAGTTTAACATATCATGGTCAATGTACAAGCATTTACTCCTTTCAGGAAGGATATATTTCACGTGTCAAAGTTCAAAATTTTAAGCTTGTAAGTTTATTGATCTTGGTCGCTTGCATTGACACATTCTTGTTGGAAAAACACAAAGGTTCTCGAGGAGAGGACATGAAAGTGAAATCTTAGGGAATTTCCGCAAATGTTTCATACCTCTGTACTCAACGATACTTTTTTTTTTTTTTCATGAAACCAAAGTCTTCCGTCATAAACGGCGGTATGACATATACAAATTCGGCGGACATTTCTATCTGGAACATTCACATTTCAGCTTCATTTCGTGACCTATGACCCTAAACAATACGGAACATTTAAGGAGGCTGTTACCAAAAGGGGTGGTGTGGCTGTCCTTGCGGTTTTCATCAAGGTTGTACAATATTTCGTTATTTTGTTGAATATGTTTAAGAGAATACACATGAAAATGGTTAGCGAATGATCATATTTAACTATAGAACAATCTTTCTTGACTATGAGTTCTATTTCCATTTCAGGTTGGAAAACAGGACCATAGAGAATTCCGAAAGCTCTGTGATCTGATGCGCTCAGTCGAGAAAGCTCACACCAGCTGCCACATGAAGGGTGTTTTTCATCCCTCTAAACTGCTGCCGTGTAAGTTCAGTTAATGAATGAGGAATGGTAATTAAGTGAGTGAATAAGTAAACTGTGTTTGAAAACCAGTCGACTCTTAAAAGTAACAGAAGTTCGTAGATGGCTCTTTCCCATGAGTAGCATGTGTGCAAAATGTTCACATGATTGTGGCTTTACAGACCATGCTGTTAAAATATATGTGTTTACTGTATTGCAGCTGATACAACCAAGTATTATACATACTCTGGATCTCTAACCACGCCCCCTTTGTCGGAATGTGTCACGTGGATAGTGATGGAAGAACCCATCCATGTGTCTGAACACCAGGTTTGTAACCTGTTCCTTGTATCCAACAATTACCTTTTTTGACTATCACACCAGAGACCATGTCTCTGATCACACTAAGCAATCAGAAGACCACTTCCGTATATTATCTTTCACCAAAACGCTGGGTTATAAACAGCGATTGTAACGTTTCCATCGTCTTCAGGGGCGTAGCTACCATTATAAGAAAAAGCCCGGGTTTACACATGATTGTTGCTAAAAAGGTTGGGCAAGACCTCAATACTATCTAAATATAAAACTTTGGAACCTATCGGAACCTAATTGGCTTGCTACGCGCCTGGGCCTAGATTTTCGAAGCTCTCTTACGACTATCTTAGAGCTAAGAGAGCTTCGAAAATCTAGGACCTGGTCTTAACTACTGTGGTTTAGGATAGGATTACGCCAGTCGTATCACTACGGTCGCGTTGTGAAACTGGACCCTGGTACACTGCCGATGGTGTATTTTGTCGAAACAGGTTAATAGTATTATTGGTGCTTTGTGCATATGGAAGTGCTGTTTATTTGCGCGTGGCATGTGACAAATTTTTATCTTGTTTACAAACACTATCTTTGTTATCAGCTGAAATGCCTGAGACAGCTTGAAGATGCACATGGAAGATACATTGACGACAACCTCCGACCCACCATGCCACTTGGAGACAGGGTTGTCAAAGCGTCCTTCAAGTGATGAAGTGATAGGAACGATGTGGACACTGGATCGGATATGTTGTACCTAATGGGCATTCTTTTACTTTTTTTTACATTTCTTGTGCACTTAACGTTCAATAGAATAGTGTCAGCCCTCTACTTTAGCTAGATTGAATAACAGAAACCGTGTCAGCACTTGTATCATCGAGAGACGAACGTAGACCCTTTTGACTGGCTCGCTCGTCATTCCCCCAGACTACGTATAATTATGTTGAAACAATACACGTGCTTATAAATACATTACTTCTGCGGCCATGTTAATAGAATGCTGTCAGTCCTCTGCCATAGCTATAATGAATAGCATAACACAGCACTTGCTTCAGTGATAGATGAACGGAGACCCTGCTGTGTCATCGTATCCCAGTTGTATAGATCGATGCCCATGTTGTTGATCACTGGGTTGTCTGGTCTAAACTCAATTATTTACAGACCGCCGCCACAGGAAACATTGCCGAGTGCGGGCCGGCGTTAAACAATAATCAATCAATCAGTCTCACATTTATTAAAGGTAAACGTCATTCTCCAAGACTCCCATAAATGTGTTGGAGCATATAGAGAAAAGCTGTTCACAAGTGTACCTATAAATACAACTTTTGCGACCTTCAGTGATGTGAACCCGAAGTTGTTTTGAAATGTTTACTACGTGTGTTTTTAAATAATTCTTTATGAGTTTGTATAGCCAGAAATTAATCCAAAATATTTAATTGAGAAAAATATCTAAATATACATGTACATTTAGATAGTTCAATAAAGACCTTTTGCCAAACTCACTTTAATTGTACATTTTGATTATTTTGTGTGCTGTTCACTTGGCATGTGCCTTACAGCGTTGTGTCAGACAGGGTGATGCGTGGTATATTTTACCTGCGCATCAGACACCTATTCTTCGATATTGGTAGTTCCCGGCGTAGTTTATTGGTTATGGTTAAAACACGGTATAGTTTGAAGTGTGTTTCAGGGGTAGTGAGTGAGTGAGTATGGTTTTACGCCGTTTTCACCAATATTCCAGCAAAATCACGGCGGGGGACACCAGAAATAAGCTTCTCACATTGTACCCAGTTTCAGGGGGAAGATGTCACTAGTCTATATATAAGACAAATACAAGGTATCTGTACTAACATTTTAGTATGACATATGTGGAATTTGCCTTAAAAATTACCACTTACAAAAAATGAAGTCTTCTTGTGCACATGACACACATGGTGAAATGTCTCCAATAGGTACATTTTAACTACATGTATTGTATTAAGTCTATGTTTGTTTGAGAAAATACATGTAACAAATTACATGTAATTTTCATCAAGGCTTGTTATAAACCATGTCGTCAATATAGCTTCAAGATTAAGCTAAAAATGCATTCTCTTTGTAAAGCTTGAACCTACCTACAGAACAGTTTTCTTCCTTAAGTGGAATAGTTTTCCTTCCCCATGCTGTTTCATGTTACTGTATTTATAGTGGTCACGCTTTGTAATATATACGCCAGGATGAATGTTGTGGGATAGTGAAGTACAAAGTTAAAATATCACATGCTTTCACAGAATTGAGCGGCGTTGTTTAAATGCACTTACAGAACAACACGGATACTTTGTCATGCTTTCAAGAAACAGAGTTTATTTGTGCAAAGACTTCTTAGAATGAGATTCGATCCATGACGACGTTGTGTTTGATTGTCTTATTCCTAAATCAAATTTGACAAAACATGTTTTCGAAGTTGGCAAATATACTTTGTACGACCTATGCTGGACCAATTCGTAGCATACACTTCTGAGTATTCAAGGTTTAACCTCAACGAGGACCTTCGGTACCATTCTGGTTACCACATTAGGCAATTTAGGCCTTTTTCCATTTACATTCTAAAGAAATACTACCCACCATCTTGTTATTGTCTTAAAATTTATTGCTGGGTTCGAATGGAAATTTGTGACAGCACCATACCCGTGGTAAAGGTCCAAAGCCTTCAAGCTTTCTTCAAACATATCCACTGTGACATAACTGGGATATCTATGAAAGGACATATTAAGATGATTTGGTGAAAAATTGTTTTATGTCGGGCTCCCGTTTGACTGAAGTTCATGCATGTGTTTGTGTGGCTGCCTGTGTGTGGCCGAGCTACACATGTATTGAAGATTGTGTAATGCTAGCCAGTTGCGACACCATGTCGGAGATTACGACGTGCAACCCTCTCAGACACTGTGTGCCGATTCCGAACCGACTTGTACTTGTTTGATTCCCTTAATGTCAACCACCGGGCAGGAATCAAATACCATCTTTGACGAATGAGTCGATGGCCAAACCCAGCGTCAAAACAGTGACGTTCATCTCTCGTCGTAGACGCTATGTCCTTACACCACAAACAGACTTACTTATGGAGTAAATTGGCATTCAAATACAACAAGCAAAAGTAGTACAAAAATATAATTTATTAACATACTGGTTTTATATGTGGCATCACTTGATATCATACGTCTTGGACCATGCGTTGATGACCAAACCGAAGGTCAAAACACCGACCTCTCCCATCGCAGGCGCTATGTCCTTACACCACAAACAGACTTGCTCATGGAGCAAACTGACATTCACACAAATAAATACAATAAGCAAAGGTATTACAAAAGTATAAGTTATTAACATAGGTCATATGTAGTATAACTTGACGTGGGACAGAAACCAAACGCTTCGATCAAACGATGAATGTATTGATGCGTCCCTACAATCATTATAATTGTACTATGTGAAGCCTTGACTGAGATAATAGTCATTCCAATAACATCATGAACCACTCTAAAAGACATTTACCAGCTGCATCGTCTCTTTTGGCACAGCTTTGTGGATGCTATGGCTGTGATGCCAGCTGGTTGGAGGTGTATGACGAAATGGTCACCTCGATAATGACTTATTGTTTTCCCTTCTCACAGCTATCGTAACATTGGTATGAGGTTCTAAACAAGGAACAACTTTCATCTTTCAATTGTTTCTCCATAAATCCAAGTGCGCATATATTAATCACCTAGAAAGAATTAACTTTCTGTGTGTTTAACGTTGTATATTGTAAATATATCCAAAAGAAATATATTGTTATACATGTCTACATATTCTGTGAATGCATTTTCATTTACAGGATAATAACTGATGGCAATGTCTGATTATGATATTCAGAATCAAAACAACTCACAGGGCATCACATTAAAGTAATAAATTATAGCACTCAACATAAGTTAGAGAACACATGACTTTCCCTTTGCAGTTGGAGCCATGACAGAATAAATACATTCAATTTATATCTTCTTTAACGTTTTGTAATTTTGTTGACGTTTGATTGTATGACGTGAGTGACGTCCACTTTCTCAAGTCTTCAATCTTGGCAGACAAGCTGTGCATGTACGTATCACATTAACAAGAAGAACATAGGTGTGTTGTGTACAAGGTGGTACCGTTCAGACATCAGCCAGATATAATTTACAATACTATCATTTTTTCCCTGAATATTGACGAAGTATGAACACGTATCTCCTTGCATGTTGTCTGTCAGGCCCTGGTACAGAATGACGCCCTGACAACCCTGTCTCCAAGAGGGTTAATGGTCCGGAAGTTGTCGACAATATTATCTTCATAGCAGCCTCCTTCGTCGTTGCTGTGGCAACCACCAATCAGGCTCCTCAGATGCATCAACTGAAAATACCATTTTGTATATATAAACAGTTACTGATTGTTGTGTTATTTAGGAGAGATAACTGGCGTCTACCACACCAGTTATATCGCTTTGAACATTGTTCCAGTTATGTCACGGCGTATCTGGTTAATGCGGGAGGAACGCCCGGAGTTATACACGTCTTATACGCTTACAGTTCGGTTGAAACCCACGACCTTTGGCATGATGCCGTCAACGTTGGAAACATGGTTGAGAGGACCCGGGATTCGAACCCATGGTTTCTGACATGCTCAAGGGATATAACTCTGCATAGCGAAAACCGTCGCTTTTGCCGACCTGGCCACCCCGCCATATTCTAATAATGGTGTATACCCCAAGGGCTCAGCTTGAAGTTTAGTTTGAATTCATTTATTTCAGGTGAGTGAGTGAATGCGTTCAGTTTTACGCCGCACTCAGCAATATTCCAGCTATATGGCGGCGGTCTGTAAATAATCGAGTCTGGATCAGACAATCCAGTGATCAACAGCATGAACATCGATCTACGCAATTGGGAACCGATGACATGTGTCAACCAAGTCAGCGAGCCTGATCACCCGATCCCGTTAGTCGCCTCTTACGACAAGCATAGTCGCCTTTCGTGGCAAGCATGGGTTGCTGAAGACCTATTCTACCCCGGATCTTCACGGGTTTATTTCAGGTGGAATTCCTAATGAAGACATAGTAATCTACACATTTTATGCATTGATCTGAGCGAATACACGTCTAACGTCTAGTCTCTAATGAAAATATTTTACAGAAAAACAGTTCTTAAAATAACTAAGAAAATGCGGTATGAACAAGCCAAGTAATATAGACTATTCCAGACTTCCATGGGGTTTCTCGGATATATATGGTTCGCTGTCTGTATAACAAAACAGAAAACACGAACTAAACAATGCAACTGATTAACTTCACACACATAGCACAAAACAGAACTGGATTCCGCTCGTGACATTGGTCACCTGTAATATAACTCCGACCACTTGGTTTTGCAACAAACAAACTGAGCATTTGCTCCATGACATGGAAAACGTATATATCATGATTACAAACATTTAAACCAGATCGGCACGAATTGTGCATAACCTTCAGTCAGATTGTAACAACTACGGTAAGAATGCAAAACGTTGGAACCTGAGAATAAAACGGAAACGTACACCCATGATTATGATACCGTAGGTAAGAGGTGAAGGTTACGCTGTTTTCGTTTACCCTGTTTGTGACACGGACCTGGTGAACTTGTACTTAATGACCTGCTGTCTTATTACATGAACACTCACACTTGCGATATCTCATGGCATTACAGTAATAAACGCACCTGGCTATGAGACAAGCAGATAGCCTCTTCTAGGAGTATCCATGTGACGCTTTCATAGCAGGGGGGCGTGGTCAGAGAGCCAGGGTACGTCCAGTACTTGTCGACATTTCCTGTAACCAAGAACAATAAATTGCCTGGTGACATTATATAACCTTATAATATTCAGTCGAACACTGTCGTAACGAAGTTGAGGTGACCAACGGAAGTACTTCGAGTTATCCAAAGTTCCACGAAACTGCACAACGATAACTCGATAAGGACTACAAGGAAGCAAGCTTGTAAGCTGTTGATCACTGGATTGTCTGGTCCAGACTATTATTTACAGACCGCCGCCATATAGCTGGAATATTGCTGGGTGCGGCGTTAAACAACCAACCAACCACGCTTTTACTTGAGACAACCGTATGCTCAACTCAAAGTTCGACAGAAATGGGTTCCCTTGTATCTTGCTTTTGTGGATACAATTACGGGACTGTTTGACAGAATGGTTTTAGGGACACGTGGTATTTATGATTAATATGCAACCAGTGACGGGAGGTGGCACATCTGATGCCGGAGGCTGGAATAATATTGTCAAATGATTACAAATTGTAAATCGCAAGGGACATTTAGTTTGGAAAGTTTTGTTATTGTTTGGATTTTGAACATGTACTCGTTTAACTTAGTGACAAACAAAGTAACCCCTCCTGTGAAACAAGACCATGAGGTGACTGACACGGGGCAATGCTATGTCCACATCTAGAAGATCCCAACTTGAAGACAAGGTCATTTTTATGAAAACATTTAGGTCAGTCATTCTTACGTGGCAGCAGACAGCGGGGATCGAACATCGTCCCGACGTTGGTCGTCGTGTAAGGGTCCAGGACCTCATGCATCACGTCCGTCAGTTTCTTAAATTCTTTATTTTCTTGGCCCACCTGAAATTGGATGTTACAAACAACGGTCAATAAAACGTATATATCTAGATCGTACATGTATGCACCTTGCTCAACATGGAATGATTGAAAAATCTGGGACATCCCCCAGATGATATGTTAACAGGTAAAATAGTGTGATATTGGGTGAATGTGCAATTAGCGACGTGTATGGACGTGTGTGTTTGTCAAGAGAAAACTAAAACTGTTTTATGGTGGTAGCCGTGTGACATAAGATTTCCCAGTAAGCATGGGTAACCCAATCGGACACCGAGCTGATCAGGCGATATTTCCCCAGTGCATTGAGTACACAGTGCACCAAACATCCTTAACAACCAGTTTAGTTCCGCATTAGCATCAATCTTCAGCAAATCATTCTTGTCGGGGTCGCTGATTTGGACCTTGAGGTACTGGATTGTCTGGCCCCGCCACGATGATTTACAGACTGTCGGTTTTATACAAACCCAAACAAAACCTTTGTTTAACGTCTGTGTATATGACGCGGCCAGGGGTTCGAACCGCCGACCTTCCTCTTTCCACATTGCTCCACTAAGCCACGGACATGTTCCTTAGAAGTACAGCGAGCAATACTGACACATACCTTGATGAAGACCCCGAGCACTGTCAGACCGTCCTCCTTGTCTACAGCATCTTCAAACGTGGAGTATTTGGCGGCATTCCAGTGAACGAAATGCAGCTGAAACATTTTGGATACGTATTCTAATTTCCTAATGTTTACGAACTGTTAATTTCTAGGATTAGTTGCATGATGGCAATGAATGATTTGGGAACATGTTCCGACCGTTAGCGAGGTAGACACTCTGGGTTCTTAAAGAGACTGGGGAAAATATAGTGATGGAATCTACCCTCATTGACGCGACGAAGCACACTGCGTTAGAGTCTCTCATTAGCGTTTTCCTTCAATTTCATTCGTCATTTTAGAGGCTGATTTCATAGAGCTTGGTTTCGGTTCAGTAGAACCTGAACGCATGTCGGTAAATACGTAATCCTTTCATACAGCTGTCACCACTGTTGCCTGCATTACGACCAAGACATCTGATAATCGAGATTCCCTGGCTTTGACGTTATATATTTAGATATTACGTCGTGGTGAATATTTTACTGACAATCCTCACGCACTCAACTGAATTTGTAAATTAGAAGTATAAATACTGTACTGTTGTCCAAAATCACTCGCAGGGTAAACTTCTCCATTTTAGTAGTAAGCTGTTAGTTGAATCACATACCTCTGCGGAATAGTTTTTGCCGTCAACTTTATGCTCGGAGCCCTGCAGGTCGGAGCTTCCCCAGTGGAAATGGAACTGTTTCAGGTAGTGCGTGGCATCACCGAGGGGGCCACCGCTTATACCTGTTTTGAAAAATGTGTGTTCTTTAGAACAAATACGCCAAATGGAACTACAAGAAAATAACACACAAACGAAACTTCGAAGACCCAATGATTTGAAATGTCAGTTATATTTGACATTCGCATCAATTTAACGTGCTTTAGTGATTAAGTTGTATTTAACTTCGACTGGAACGGTACTTCGCTTATAGTGTAAGGCGTGTCACACATGAAGCAGGTAAAACCCATGATGAAGTGCTGCCAAATCAAGCATCAGCCCAGTCGGAGTTTCCAAATCATGATCACAGCAAAGGAAGATAACTTCAAGTTGCAGTTCCTGAGACAACTTGGTCACCCGGTTATATACTCTCCAAATAAAGTAGAAGAACTTCATTTTTAATTTACGATTGAAAACATTGGGAGATATATCGGGAGTCAATCAATGTTTACATGATAATAATGAATGTTTTGAGAGTGCATCACCACTTGCACTTCCTTATGACCATAGTTGTTTGTACAGTAATCGCTCTTGAAAGATGATTGGTGTATGACGTGAAATTTGTATGTGTACGATTTTCATTTTCAAACAAAAAGAAACCCGGCAAGAAACAAACACTAACAACTGTGTGATGCAAGATTATTGTCAAAACTATTGGTGTACAGTGATTTATCGACCTTCTTAAAAACCGTCAAAATAAACAATGACGCCCCATGCACGTGTATGGGGCTACTGTGTTGTGTAGGTGCATCCCATACGTTGTGCTTAGGGGTGGTGATAAATAGAAATGGCGGTGTGTTCATACGATATCTGTCTTTGAAAAGTTTGTCAACGCTTATACTTCCTATCCAAATTGAAAGTTCAGGTTCCCCTACCTTTTCGAAGGTGAGGTGAGGTGAAATTGGGTTTAACGTCGTGATTGAGAATATTTCGCTCATATGACGACGTGCATGCGTGTGTATGTGTAGCTGCTTGTACTAGCCCAGACTTAAGCTGGTTTTATAGTGCTAGCTCACTGAGATACCATGCCGCAGTGAAGCATGAATATCCCCCTCAGACACATTATACTGACTCCGAGCCGACCAGTCCTTGTTGTACCCAATAATGCCGAGCGCCAGGCAGGGACCAACAAGTACCATATTTTAACTTCTTTGGTATGACGCGGTCGGGGATCGAACCCGCGACCTTCCGCTCTCCGGGCGGACGCTCTAACCACTACACCACGGAGGCGGTACCTTTTCGAAGAGTATATCATGATTTAATGAAGGTTATACAAGCCCAGTCTAATGTTTCAGGTCGTACTTAACTTGATATTGCTGAAGAACAAAAGTACATACTTGAGCTGTCGTCCACATCAGCTTGAAAGGAGTGGCCATTGTTCTCCACTTCCAGATTGTATTGCCGAGCGTGCTGGATTCTCAGGGGATGGTACCAGAGCTCGGGGTCGTATTCAGTCGTCTCAGTTCTGATGTCTATGGGGGACTGGTGTGGCCCGGCCGCAGCCTCGTAGTGCTCGATCCAGTGTAAAGGCCCTAGGGGTACGACACGAGTGAGCAGTAAAGATACCGTGGAAAGGAGAAAGTGGAACACGAGTGTGCTGGTACCTTATAAATACATATAGTGCATTTGGGGACAACAATTTGTTATCTAAGTGGGAGGCACTGTGTAAATATGAAAACAAGCGTTTGAAAATAATAACGCAATTGAGTCACACTAGCTGTCGAATGTCCTGAAATAATGAATAGCGGCTACTAAAGTTCCTGTCAGAGGAAAAAGGTCTTGAATGGCCGATTAAATATGTTGTCACACACACAGTACCGCTCTCACCTCCACCACCCCTCCCGCCACTGCACACACGCACACACACCCGACCCATAACATTTGACAGTATGTCGAATACAAGGTTAGACAAAATGCCTTAAAGGTAGGGTGTGTATATGTGTGTGCATGACTTGTACGTGCATGTGTGCGCACACGTGTGTGCATGGTTCCGGTTTCTAGTCAGATGCTCTATCCGCTATTATCTGTTTGCTGGAATTGTTTTAGAAATATTACACCCCACGTCAGTAATGCTTATTTACCCTACCTATTTATTAAATATTATATCACGTTACTTCCACGTCGTAGTCCTTGTGTTTACATTTCTGTATGGTATACTGTTCGAACATGGGTATTCTTCCACACGATGTGCGAGAGTGGGTTTGGAAAATTAGAGTATTTCAGCGATATCACGGATCGTCAACGCGATTCAGGAGACAAGTGGAAAGTGATGCAGACGTGTACCACGTGATGCCCACGAGAACGGGTATGGTCCCCTGGAAACATAATCAGACCAAGTCTGGGAATTTTACCCATAATAATGGGTTTCCGACACACTGATGGATTAAATTCAGCCAATAGTGACATCATAGAGAGTCGTCCATTCACTCATGATAATATCCCAACAGGAAGCTATAGCTAACCAAACAGAACCTCGAAGAAAGGAAAACAGACTACATCCCTAGTCTGGCGGATAGAGGTTATGACCGGAGAGCGGGAGGTCAGGGTTCGAGTCCCTGCCGAAAACACAAACAGAAGATTGTTGTTACCTGCGTCTGGTGCTCGACATTAAGGTGATAATGGTCGGGATGGGTAGGAACGTGTATGACCAGATTCCACTGATTTGGTAACTTAGGCGGACAGGATTAAAAAAAACCCGACATTTGTCAAGACTATTTCCCTCGACAATACTCATGGGTACGCAAATGTGTGCGGGGCGGTTGGGTAGCCTAATGGTTAAAGCGTCCGTTCGTCACGTCGGAGACAGTGTTCGATTCTCAACATGGGTACAATGTGTGATGCCCACTTCTGGTGTCCCCCGCCGTGATATAGCTGGAATATTGCTAAAAGCGGCGTAAAACCATACTCACTCACGATATATATTCAAGCCGATATGTGTTATTATCTTAACAGCGGTGTTGAACGCCATGCCGCCTCGTCTCAACTCACTGCACCTCACTTCACGTCAATAAAACATTAATTTACTAACATTCACTCACAAACTAGGTCACTTTAACTGCTCGTTGTAGAATACATATCTCAGTGTCGTGAGTATATATAATAATAACACAGCTTGACATACGTCTGTACCCTGTGTCTGATATTTTCAAATATGAAATATATAATGAGGATGTGGTGAGAGTTCCGCCCTTAACCCTCGTTTGAAATGTATTCTATTAATTATGATTATTTCGAGGGGTTGGGGTTTAGGGTTAGATTTAAGGTTAAGCTTTTTATTTTTAAAAACCCATCTATTCTTAGGCATAGAATGATAAAAAACATAACCGGGGGTTACGGGCGGAAATATTTCCGAGGATGTCATACAACTGAAGGAAACGTTCTTTGATAGTAACACTGATTGATCACTTATTTTCTCATCGAAGGAAATACTGTATCACCATCTAAGGTAGAAACTTTCATATTAATAAGAGACAAAACATTAAATGAAATATGTTCTCACCATTAGTGTCACTGTATCCCCAGCTCATGGTCACGTCTCTGTGCTGATGTAGAAGATGACTGGAAGGACGCCACAAACGGCTTATATCTTACATTGTTGTGAGAATGATGAGATCTGATTGGCTCACGTGATATTGATGAACAATATATCTCCCGCCGGGAAATGAAATAAAGGTCTGAGTGACGGAATGAATCCCTTATACCCGGATACAACGAAGAAAGCGTGCACATATTTCTGAGCAGGAGAATAAGCGCATTATACTCTAAACTAAAAGATGCACGTTGTTTTCATGCTGGTGGCAGTCACGCGACACAGCACATGGTAACCTCAGCTCAATTGAACATCTGTTTTCTATCCGTTTTAAATTTATTTTAATCCTTTCACAATATTAATTGAAACATGCGGGTTGGCTTTCATACCACGAACCTGTGAAAGATAAGGTGGGACAAAGAAAACTCACTAACTTATACAACAACTTGTATTATATGAATATTCAATTGTTTATTACAAACAACCCAGTTGCCTGTAAACATGGGGGATCAGGTATCACGAAAATGATGCAAGAAGGGATGGGTTCGCTCCTCCACCCCCAGCGCTGTTGTGAATTGGGCAAGAAATATAGGGCAGTACGTTAAGGTCGATTGAACATTAGCTACCGTCGTCTGTCGGAAAACACAAAAGCACTTATCCCACTTTCTATGTTAGTATCTATACAAGGACGAAGTCTCATCAACAAGAGGCAGATATCGCAAGGTCCACAAATAACCTAATGACTCCCCGATCTAAACAATTTTCAATCGTAGCTTTTAGATGATTGGTCCATTAAACATATTTATCAAGCATATACAGATGCTTCATGTTATATATACCTCACACCTGTAATATGATGGTTGAAGTATCCATGTAAACCATCATAAAATATGAAATATGAAATGTTCCACTGAGAGACATTGTATATCCTTATATAGTCTTTTGCCGGTTTTAGTAAGCAGTTCGAACCCCCACGTCACTATATCTGCGTGACGCGAGTGATCCCATGCTTGCTGTGTCACACCCGGCTTGCTCCAGTAACCCACATAGTAGGCCTTGAACGGAAACGTGACTTCTTGAATGGAGAGATGGAAGCGTGTAACACAACCTGTATACGCCTTTCTCGTATTGGCCTCACACCGCGCGTAAACACCACGTAACCCAGAATCTCATCATATTTCTATGAATCAGATTACAGCAAAGTGTGTAAGGTTTCATCGCAGAGAATTGTAGAGGTTTCAATTTCGGTAAATAAAGATTTGAATTACATCAAATTGTTAGGTTTCGATTTCTCACAATTGAAGAAGGATGGGTCAACTTGAAAGTATTTTGTCAAAGTGTTGAAAAGCGGTGTGTTGTGTTAACTGCGTCCTGAAGCAAGATCTATCATTTCCAACAAAATATACATTTGTTTGGGAGAATATCCGCCACTCTGTGACGTCACAATGCCTATCTCAGGAGGGAGCAGTACGTGTCACTCTCAGTTTACAACGGATTAGATTCTATGTGAATTTGAATGAGATGTCAGCCGTATTACTCTTACTGGTTTGTCTGGTATAGTTGATTCATTCTATGTTCGCTCTGTGACCTTGACTGACTGAACCTACTGACCTCAAAGTCATTCAGATACAGATTAATGTCGATTATTGTTTCCTAGAGATGTGGATGTATATATTTATATGTTCAAGACGCAACGACTGAGATTTTGTAGGCAATCGTTACAGGCGTTTAAGCATTAACATAAAAACGATGTCTATGTCGGCATTTGCCGACACGTGCCTCCGGGATGTTGTCACGGAAGTACTACCCAGCGACACGTCCGTGAATAGCATGTAACGGTGTTCTTCCAGTCACGTTAACGGCATGTCGGCAACACCACACAGTTGCACCTTTCAAGGAAGTTCAAAAGTAAACCTACATTCATCATTTGCCCGTCGACGATTGGTCCAGCGATGCCGCTCCTGACGTCGTCTTGTAGTAATGAGATAACACGAGGACGTCAGGCACGCAGGTTCGAATCGTCTGTCCGTTCACACTAACAACTAGCTCTGTGAAGCTCATCCCCAATTTGAGAGGCACTTTGACCACAGTCGTTCTGATGAAACGTTGGTTGGTTTTATAGTTTTAGGGCGACGTGGAACAAGAAGACGCCTATTTGCGCCCAACTCACTTACTTGATTTATTACAAATCACAGGTCATGACATCGCCATAAGGATAGTTTAGATAACATGAGAGAGACGTCAGAACTAAACATATTTATTTGGTGAGGTGAGTTTAACATCGAACTTACGAATATTTCGCTTATATGATGACGCGCATGCGTGTGTAAGTTTGGCTCCGAGCCTACCAGGCAGGGACCAATAAGTACCATATTTTAACGTCTTTGGGTATGACGCGTCCGGGGATCAAACCCGCGACCTTCAGATCTCCGGGCGGAAGCTCTAACCACTACACCACCGGGCCGTCAACATATATTTGGATACACATATACATATAAGAATAACCAGTCTTCTGTTTTGTTCCATGTTCCAACACACCAATTATAGTAGCCTCGCCAGGGGTGACGGACGCCATATGTAAAAAAAGAACAATCTTCAGTCAGGTTGTATCAAAGTTATGTACAGCAACACACTGGAAAGTGTCACTGTTAATTTCGAATTTGCACATCATGAAAAACGCGTGTTTGCACGAAATTCATGACACGTTGTTGATTGTATAATAATGATCACAATCCTTATAAAAGCATGATGTCACCCACAAAGTACTTTTCCCCAATTTGAAAGTATGTATATGGATAATCTGATATCATTCTGTAATGGTGAAATAGCCAGTACACCTTCCACTGATTGAAAGGTCGTGGTACACTCACTTAAGGTGTGCTGTTCAACCAGGACAAGGGGCAGTATGGTAGCCAAGTGGTTAAAGGGCTCGTTCAGCATGCTGAAGGCCAGAGTTCGATTCCCCAGATGGGTGCAATGTATGAAGCCTATTTCTGGTGTTCCCCCCCAGTGATATTGCTGGACTATTTCTAAAGGCGGCGTAAACACTCACTTGCTCGCTCCCTCAGTCACTCACTCACTCTCACTCACTCACTCCACCAGGACAAGACACAAATGTGTTGTCGAACCAGCAGCCATACCCATACAAAATGGGTGACCCCCTTTAAAATCACCATCACCCCACTAGCCATAAAGTATGATCGTTTTCCATCATCTCTAGGCTCACAATGTTTCACACACTCTTCGTTTGTTCTTTATATGTACAATCTGAACAGAAAACAGCTGAAATTGTTTTTTTAAAATTTCTCATGATTATAGAACACATTTTTTACTTTTATATTTTAACCAATATCTCTGTTTTCATTCTACATTTGCATAAATAAACAATAGATTTATTAATTATCCTGTGACAAAATAGGAGTTTAAAATCATGGTCAGTATTCCGTGTCAACTAATAATGACACATGTCAAGCATTTACAGGGAGAAAAACGGTTGGCATTCTGGGTAAGCGTATGCGCACCTTGCAACCCAGGTATGTCGCACTCACTCACTCACTGAGTTTGGTTTTACGCCGCTTTTAGCAATATTCCAGCAACATCACGGCGGGGGACACCAGAAATGGGCTTCACACATTTTACCCATGTGGGGATTCGAACCCGGGTTTTCAGCGTGACGAGCCAACGCTTTAACCACTAGGCTACCCCACCGCCCCTGGTATGTCGCAAGACTCACGCCTTGTGCAACCTGACTGTTTGTATGTAAACATATCCCAGTGGCATGGATCAGTCGTCATGTCAGTCACTGGACTGGCTGATTTGTACTCCATTATTTACAGATAACGGGACCGCCTCCGTGGTGTAGTGGTTAGAACGTCCGCCCAGAGAGCGGAAGGTCGCGGGTTCGATCCCCGACTGCGTCATACCAAAAGACGTTAAAATATGGTGCTTGTTGGTCCCTGTCTGGCGCTCGGCATTAATGGGTACAACAAGGACTGGTCGGCTCGGAGTCAGTATGATGTGTCTGAGTGGGGTATTCATGATTCACTGCGGCATGTTATCTCAGTTGGCTAGCACTATAAAACCAGCTTCAGTCTGGGCTAGTACAAGCAGCCGCACATACACACGCATGCACGTCGTCATATGAGCGAAATATTCTCAAGCACGACGTTAAACCCAATTCCACCTCACCTCACTTCACAGATAACGTGATTTTGCAAGAATATTGCTGAATGCAAGGTTAAATAACAATCACACTAAACCAACTGTTGACATCTCCCACTGCCCGAACCAACAAATTGTTTCAGAGGTAGAACTCCAGTAGGGCAAGCTCTACAGCTTCATGTGCTCAGTACAGTCTATTGTGCTCCTTTGTGACTCAGATCAGCACGCCAGTCTTGACACTTGACCTTGGAGGTTGTGTGTCACCCTTCCCAAATAAATGGATGTCGATGTTTGCAAGTTTGTTTGGCAACTATGCTATTTGTGAAAGATGGAATAACATTCACTCCTCCGCTGGACCTTAAGATAAATAGTCATTTGCACAAATGTAAATGTGACGTGGAAAATACACAAAAAACAAATTGAATGTATTTTTTGTTTTTTGCAGATGCCTTTATTGAACTTTTAAAATGTGCACACGGTACTAAACCAGTCAAAGGTCCTCGAGTGAAAGAAGCATAATATATGAACGAAATTCTATGACTATACACCTGTGTAAAGCAATATTCTAATACACATACGGTAAAATACATTTTCAAAAGAGCTTCCTGATGTAATCACCATGGTCAGAAACGAATTATTTTCATAAACATGTGTATGGTTTCAACAGAATTATGTACAGGTTGTACAGTTATCAAGTGCTTGTGCTGTTTTGTCATTCATGCTAGCTATAGTTGAAGGTTGACAATATTTTGTTATTAACTTTAAGTGAACAGAGTAAAGAGTGATGTCTATGTAGAAAAAAGACATATCCGATCCAATATCCATCTCGGTCCATCCGCCTCATCACTTGAAGGACGCTTTGACAACCCTGTCTCCAAGTGGCATGGTGGGACGGAAGTTGTCTTCAAGAGGTCCGCC